GCAAACTCCGGCCCTCCAGATGTTTTGGAACTACAGTTCCCATCACTCCTAGCTAACAGGGCCAGTGGTCAAGGATGATGGGAATTGTAGTCTCAAAACATCTGGAGGGCCAGAGTTTGCCTATGCCTGGTCTTTGCCTTCTGCCATCCTGCACCATGCCAGCTCAGCCACCAACTTGCAAATAAAGCCTTGCCACATCTTTCTTTTGCACCCTTAGACATGATCAAATCCCCAACAGAATGGAGAGCAGTTCAAATAAATATGTTCCCCTAGTTAAGGAACTAACAGGTGAACTAGCCCTTACTTTCTGCTAGTTATTGATGGTGAACATCCCCAGATAAGGAGGATTCCAACAACCCCACAGAGGAAAGGAGTACTATTCCATCACTACTCTGAAAAATTACGTTTGTGTTTTAAAGTTCTGTGCATTTTCCTTATTGTCATTGTTGTTATTTTGGAATGCGTATCTAGGCTAATAACAGGACACTTCAAGAAAAAATTCTCCAAGTCAACAATCTGCTGGAGGCTTTTGGAAATGCAGGCACTATTATTAATGATAATTCCAGCAGATTTGGGAAATACCTAGAAATGAAGTTCACTTCCAGTGGAACTGTTGTAAGTGCTCTGATTTCAGAATACCTCCTAGAAAAATCAAGAGTCATACATCAAGCTGTGTAAGTAAAAGGAAAACAAAGGGGGTGCTTTTCTGGCTGTGAGAAAGAGAGAGGGAGGCTTGGTTCAAACAAACTCTAAGGGTGGTACAGCCTACATGTCATTGGGGTGGGACTCCATCTGCCTAGCCCAGGCACTGTAAAGTCTATCAGGCATAGGCAAACTCGGCCCTCCAGATGTTTTGGGACTACAATTCCCACCATCCCTGACCACTGGTCCTGTTAGGTAGGGATGATGGGAGTTGTAGTCCCAAAACAGCTGGAGGGCCGAGTTCGGGGGTGCCTGGACTAGCCCAATCAGACACCTTGGATGTAGCCTCTGAAACTGCATTGTGCATAACCTGAACTGTGTAATGTTTATTATTATTATTATTATTATTATTATTATTATTATTATTTACATTTTATGTAGGCTAATGCCCATGTAGCTTCGGCCTGTACATCTAAGCCAGGTTTCCTCAAACTCGGTCAGGGATGATGGGAATTGTAGTTTCAAAACATCTGGAAGGCCGAGTTTGAGGAAGCCTGATCTAAGTTCTGTGCAAACGTTATGATGACCAACACATTGATATATTTGGGTTAAGCATTAACAGTGGACTGGGAATCATGATGTTGCATTCCCCTGAGTTGGGCTAAGCTATTTCTATGATTACTATTACCATTTATTGCATTTGTTAGCTGTTGCAATTCTACTTTAAGCTGTCTTAGGAGGGCTTGTTGCCCTGAAAGGCAGTGAGAAAACATTTCAAATAAAATAAATTTTATAATAGTAGAAGACAATCAGAAATTAGACGTTACTGGTTCAATGTTGATTGTGTTTCAATAATTGCCATATTGAGGTGTGTGGTGTTGTGTTTTTTTTCCATTTCAGAGGAGAGAAGAATTTTCATATTTTCTATTACATCTATGCTGGTTTGGCTGAGAAGAAAAAACTAGCTCATTACAAATTGCCAGAAAATAAACCTCCCAGGTATAACATTCCATTTGTATTCTTTAGGATAAATGCATAAGTGGGCAGCCTTTGCTAGAGTGAGCCTTTTGAAACATAGAGTGGATTCACAATTTCTCATACTCTTTTCCCTGTCCCCATCATCCCTCTAGGTATCTACAAAACGAACATCTCAGAACTGTACAAGATTTCATGAACAATAGCTTCTACAAATCCCAGTTTGAATTAATTGAGCAGTGCTTCAAGGTGATTGGGTTTACGATGGAGGTGAGTGTCAGTGATATTTTAACTTGTGCACCTTAGAGAGAGAAGTAGGCCTTGATTGACAGTATGAAGGTTGCCAATAATTTCTAGAGTAGTGGGTGTCTCACTCCCAGTTCAGGGGCCTGATTAAACCCCCATACTAATTTCTCCCCCCAAGATGCCACTAATTTTGGAGGCAGTGGCAAAAAGAAGGGGAATACATTTGACACAGTGCTAGAGTGGCTGAAACCCATTGCCCTGATGGGAATGCAAATCACCTCCTCTCCAGTCATCAGATCAGCTGTTTGATGAGCAGAGAGAGGGAAATAACACCAGACTGTCTCTATTTTCCTGAGATGTCCCTGATTTAGAGAAGCCGTCCCGGTTTCTGATTTGATTCTGCAATGTCCTGCTTTCCATAGGATGTCCCTATTTTCACTGGAGAAAGGTTGGAGGGTATGGTAGGATGTCCCTATTTTCATTTGAGAAATGTGGGAAGGTATGTATAGGGAAGCTTTTAAAATGTTTAATATTTTATTACATTTTTACATACGTTGGAAGCCACCCAGAGTAGCTAGGGCAACCCAGCAAGATGTGTGGGGTATAAATAGTAAAATTATCAGTAGGGAATGGGATGTCTCTATTTTCACTGGAGAAATGTTGGAGGATATGTAACACCCCCTTCTCAGCTGATCTGCATGGATTAGCTGAGAAGGAGGGTCTGTATGTCTAAGATTCTAGCCCTCAGTTTCTAGCCAAAGAATGAGTTGTTGGTCCAGAAAAGGTTGACCACCCCATTCTAGAGTACTTCCCCAAAGGTGGCAGCTGGCGGTGGCTTTAAGTTGTCAGTCTGCACTCCAACGAACCATAATCAGTTGACTATGGAGCACGGTTGCTTGGTAGCAAAACAAACTACAATTCCTAGCTCATATTACTATGAGTTGGGGGGGGCACACAGATAGGCTGTATGTCAGAGCTTCCCTTCTAATTCCTGGATCCAGCACGGATTCAATTGCTGGAATACCCAAGCCAGCCTGGTAATGCCCACTAAGTATGGTTTGTTAAGGGAACAAAGAGAGTGACTCTGTGCCAGAGGCCAAATGGGTAGGCCTCCCTCCCTCAGCTGTCTGTTGTTTGGAAAGACAAAACAGAGAGTTGAGTGATATGAACTAGAAACTGGATGCAATAGAAGTCTGGAAAGGCAGAGAGAGTGCCAGGCCTGATTTCTGCTAGAATCCAAGGCTGTGGCTATGGGAAGAAGCAAGACCCTCTTTTGGTGTTGATGCTGTGAACCCCTCCATCACAAGCTCAGGTTGTATATGTGTGTAAATAAACCTTATATCATAAAGACACCACAGTCTCTGCTTTGCCTCATTCCCAAAAGGAAACACAAACCCTTCGTAAGCATCTGGAACCCCCGGAATCTTGCACTGCTCAGAGTTTGGGGTGGCGTGCAGCAATATGTGCAGCTAATCTAGGGATTTGTGGTTTCTTTTGTCCCGGCGTGAGTAGGAGGAGCAACTCCTGTCCAATTTGCTTGTGCATAGTTAATGCCTTACTGTGATTTGTGAACACTGCCATGAAATCGTGTTCAATGTCAGCTTTGGCTTTTTCGGACCAGCTAGTACAAAAGACTGTAATTTCAACAAGCTTTTCATCAGGCAAAATTAGCGCTTGAAGCACACACAAGTGGGATGAGCTATAACGTCTTCTTTCTAAGTTTCAGTGTACCCTGTTTCCAAACAGAAGAGGCTGGTTTGTCTCATTTGTGCTCCCTTAGGAGGGAATTTGAGCTATAGCCACACACACAGCAGGTTTTGCCTCTCCATTGACAGCATTCTGCTTTTCTGGGTGCACAGGATGGGGGGAAATTACATGGGAGTGCGTGAAAAAGTGAAGCCCCCAGAAATGTCTTCTTTTGACTTCTGTTTCCTCCAGATTCTATGTTTAGAAAGGCTCTGGGGCAGAACTTGATTGCAGTATGGTCAAAACAACCCCCTAAGCATTTCAGAAAATCTCTCCCTTTTTAACAGAGTGGCAGGTCCCTGTGCTGTAAACACATAGTCTATATATCCCTTTGCTCCTTTAAAATCAAACTGAAGGTTACATGGCAACACACACACACACACACACACACACACACACACGATGCAGGAAAAGGGCTGTTGGGAATAAAAGTAATCACGCCTTACAAGAAATCAGGAAAGGGTACAAAAGATGTTAGCTGCAATACATGTAACACAGTGTAATGACAGAAGTCGGTATAATCAGTAGTCAATATAATCATTTTATTCCATTTATCAGAATAATTTACAAATAGACATAGTGGGTGATTATTTCTTCAAAAGAAAAAGAATCAAAACTCAAGTCTATGGGTAGTAGGTCTTTTGTTTGTTTGTTTGTTTCCTTAACCCTAAGATTTTAAGAATCAGAAAAATGTTTAGAAGAAAAAACCTAGGGGGGGAAGATCCAGAAAAACATACCCATTGAGTATTTAATAGAACTATTCTTACTCTTTTAGCGATTATAACCTCCATGCCATACCTTTTTTTAAAAAAACATTCAAGCTGCACTGTAAAGTTAAAGCAAATTGAAGCGGGTGCAGCCCCTGGTAAAACGCTGGTTCTCTAAATGCAAGTTGGATATGAAAATGAAGAAATGAAATGCTGTGAATGTTGCCTGGGGTGTCAATTATAAGGCTATGAATTGGAATGTTTTTGTGCATCTGTCTTTCAGGAACTAGGGAGCGTATACAGCATCCTTGCTGCCATTTTAAACGTGGGCAACATCGAATTCTCTTCCGTAGTAACCGAGTACATGATTGACAAGAGCATCATTTCCAATCCAACGCCTCTGGAGAACTGTGAGTTTTCTTTCCTTTTTATAATAATTAAATGCCTTTTGCGAACTGTCTCCATAATTATGAGCTCCAGACTTATCTGCATATTGCAGAAATCTTACCTCATTGCTTGAAAAGCTCTACACAGCCTGGGCCCAGGCTCTTAACAAACATCACATGTTTTTAAAGCAGCTAGTGGGGCTGGGATGGCCTGTTTTTTCATAGAATCATAAAATTGTAGAGTTGGAAGGGACCGTGAGGGTCATCTAGTCCAACCCCCTGCAATACATAAATCTTTTGTCCAACATGGGGCTTGAACCCATGAGCCTGAGATTAAGAGTCTTATGCTCTACCAACTGAGCTAAGCTCAGTGTCTCCCACAACAGGCCACATGAATTTTTAGAAAGCCTAGACCAGTGTTTCCCAAACTTGGGTCTCCAGCTGTTTTTGGCCTACAACTCCCACCATCCCTAGCTAAGCAGGACCAATGGTCAGGGATTATAGGAACTGAAGTCCAAAAACAGCTGGAGACCCAAGTTTGGGAAACACTGGTCTAGAGTTTGAGTAGGGACTTTCCTCCTGTGACCCTCAACCTTGAGATTATTTCCTGAGATGAATAGCTGTAGCACTGGGGGACTGGAGAAGATCTTTCCTGAGGCTAAGTACCTGAGCATCTGGGTGATTAGTTTTTTGCTTTGGGGACAGCTGAGGTCCCTGGTAAGTGTGGTAAGGAATGGGACCCCCTGCCTGGTCCATAGTCCAGAGAGAAGCTGCACTCAATCTTGCAGCCTCTTGCACCAGCTCCTTGCTGGGTCAGGGAGCATAGAAGCCCTGCTGGCAGAGCCTACACAACAGGGGTGACACCATAGAGTTTCATCTCTTCAGGAGTCCCAACAGTGAGAACACTACCCCCTTCTATTCCCCCCCCCCCCACGAACCTGGAGGAGGTTAGATAGTGGGAGGGCCTAAGGTGCATGTCTGGTTTCCTGCACAGGGTGAGAGCCTGTACAACAAAGAAAGACACCAGATGCCTTCAGAGTGAGAGTCTGTAACTGACAGAAGGCTGGTCCTCCCTTGGTGTGAGACAGTGGGGGAGTAGATGCGCTCTGTCATGATAGTAACTTGGTGAGCTCTGTGGACTTTAGTAACATGGTTCCCAGTTCTGTCAGGTGCCTTCTGGGATGATGCCATTAGGTCCAGTAGCGGACAACCCTGGGGTTGCACGCTCATCTCGCTCTATAGGCTGAGGGAGCCGGCATTTGTCCGCAGACAGCTTCCAGGTCATGTGTCCAGCATGACTAAGCTGCTTCTGGCGAACCACAGCAGCACATGGAAATGCCTATACCTTCCTGCCAGAGCGGTACCTATTTATCTACTTGCAATTGACGTGCTTTTGAACTGCTAGGTTGGCAGGAGCTGGGACTGAACAATGGGAGCTCACCCCGTCACAAGGATTCGAACTGCCAACCTTCCAATCGGCAAACCCTAGGCTCAGTGGTTTAGACCACAGCACCACCCATGTCCCTCTGGGATGATTAGTTGGGGCTGATTTTGTCGTGTGCTGTTGTTGTTTGCACAATGTGTTTGGGAAGCATTTGGGGAAGGAGGGACATGGGTCAGGCCACCCCAGTTTCAGTGATCATGGATAAAGGGAGATATAGCCATTGGGAAGTGATATCATGAGGACAAGGCTATAAAACTGGCAGGGACCCTCTACAGCACCCTTTGTCAGCCCAGATCGCATGAAGCCAAAAGAACTCAACAGCCCTTACAGAAGAATGCAAATAATGAAAAGCACAGGTGAAATCAAGCCCTGCCTTATTTAAAGCCTCAAACAGCCAAATGCAATTGCATCATGAAAATTAAAAATACGCAGTTGCAAAACGCAAAGACTCTTTATGTATATTTGTAAGGAACACACGTCTACCTCTTTGCTGGTGTATCCCCCCCCCACCCCCCGTTTTGATCTTCTTGCAGAGCAAGGAGCTGCAGTCTTCATACTTTGCACAACATCAAAGCCCTTTTCCTTCTCAGCTACTTCCCACTGTACAGTTGATGGGCAGAAGGGGACCCAGGGTGCTTAATGAAATGCATGTGATATCCAGGCTGTGGTCCAGGGGTCCCCCTCACCTGTTGTAAGGAGCTTTTACATATAAAATTAAGAAATGTTTGATACATTATGGACGTGACACCATTCCTCCGTTTTCCAGCCGCATCTTTGCTGTGTATACAGGCAGATGAACTGCAAGAAGCTCTGACCTCTCATTGTGTGGTGGCCCGAGGGGAAACTATTATACGGCCCAACACGATGGAAAAAGCTTTCGATGTAAGAGACGCCACAGCCAAAGCCTTGTATGGGCGTCTGTTTAGTTGGATAGTCAACCGCATCAATGCACTGCTCAAGCCAGGTACATTTTTAAGGTAAGGGTTTTTTCTCTCTCGTAAGAAACAGAACCTTGTTTCAATGTGAAATGCATAGTATCTGGAATGTCCTGAGACCCCAGTCATCCAGACCAGAAATTTCAAATGGAATACAATACCAATTTCACTAGCTATTCCCAAACCCAACTTTTAAGATATTCTATTCTAAGCCCTTGCAAACAAAGCAAGAACAAGACTAGAGTAAACAGTTTATTTGTAGTTGTGCTTCTCAGCAACACAAACATGTCTCTCTTAGCCACATCCCTTGCCTCATTCCTCCCTTAGGTTTAAATTCACAGTTTGGGCTCACTCGACCACTCCATGCATATAGAAGCCTCGCCTCTTTCTTTCTGCATTCCAGTATGCAAGCAGAAGGTCTGATTTACGCATTGCAAGGAGCCTGTGATATGCACTGGCCATGGCTTCTGTGTGTGGTAGCTTATGCCTGCAGCAGGGTGAAAAGAAGAGCTCATCATGTGGATTGGCTGTCAGCTGGTGTTTCTGGCAGCTGCTGCCAAAGGTGTGAAAACTGACAGTGTGATCAGAGTGATCCATGCAGTGCTATTTTGTGTGTTGCAGCGGCTGCAGTGAAAGCAGTTTCAATTTGCCTTCATGTGCCATTCATGATAAACCTGCCCTGAGAATTCACTACAGGTTGCTATCTTAGGTTCAGACATTTGCCTGGGTAGTGATAACATTTGCATAGCGCACAAACAGATGTGCTCCTTCCTCTCCACCTTGCAGAAAATGGACCAAACCAATGTAATGTAACAGCAGACCCTGGACTAGTTTTCACCTTTCAGCAGGTCTTGACCTATAATGGCTAATAAAAAGGCTTCTGGGCTTTTAACAAAGGTTATTTTAAACATCTTTTTCATTTCATTATATATCATTTCCCAATATTTCTTGATTATTTTACAATTCCACCACACATGTAAAAACATACCCTCTTTTTCTTTACACTTCCAACATTTTTTAGAGCCTGTTTTATACATTTTTGCCATTGTTACAGGTGTAATATACCATCTATACATCATCTTCATATAATTATCTTTTAGCAATATGCAATCGGTAAATTTTAAATTAGATTTCCATAATTTTTCCCAATCTCCCATTTGTATATTGTGTCCCAGGTCTTGTGCCCACTTTATCATCACACTTTTGACTTCCTTGTCTTTAGTTTCCCACTCTAATAGTAACTTATATGTTTTCCTTAGGAATTTTGTATTATCTTCGATGACTTCACTTTGGAATCTAGATAAAGTATAGCTGAATCCCTTTTTTTACCTTCTTTAAATACCTCATTTAATTGTAAGTGTTGCAGCCAATCTCTTACATGTATTTTAAGCAAGGGGCTTTTGTCCTGATTCAGCCAGGATACATTGCTGTAGAGCAAGATGCCTTTGTAAATTCAGATTTGCAATGCAAATTAACCCACGGGATATGCAAATACTTGTGCCTTGTATGAACACTTTTTGCCCAGGAGCAAGGACTGGCTGATCTTGTGGCCACTCTTACATTCAGAAATAAAGGGCTTGTAGTTAGACATTTGGTCTCCGGCTGACTCTCCCTGGCACACAGCACATTAGACTCTGTCAGAATCTCAAACTAGAGGAGACCCTGCCCGGTTGCTGACTCCCAACTGTGTTAAACCAGACATGTAATAGTTATGTTTTTGAAGTAGCTGCAGGGTTGAAGCTGATGTGAAATAACCAAACGGCGCTGGAGAATCTAATGTGCAAATTCTGTACATTTCAGCGGAAATGACGAAGGGCTGAACATTGGGATTCTTGACATCTTTGGTTTTGAAAACTTCAAAAAGAATTCGTTTGAACAGCTCTGCATCAACATTGCCAATGAGCAGATCCAGTTCTACTTCAACCAACATGTCTTCGCGTGGGAGCAGGTGGGTGCTATAATCTGTGTGTCTGTGTTGTGTTTGCTTATTTTAAGTGTTTTATGCTGCTTAAAAAAAAAACAAACCAGCTCAAAGCATTGTACAAAACCAAAAGAGTTGGTCAGTTTTTAAAATCGCACAAAGACAACACTGAAATGACAGCATCAAATTGCCTATTGAATTACTGAGCCACGCAAAAAACCAGGAGAAAAAAAGATGCATTCGCTAAAGGCAAACACAGAGGTAGGACTCTCAGTCAGCTTATGTTTTACTCAGAGTTCACCCATCAAAATCGGTGGACATGACTATGTTAGGTCCATTAACTTCACTAGGTCTAACTTCGAGTAAAACTAGTTGAATGCCACCTCAAGTGTTCAAACCAACACCTTTTGCACACTGACAGGGAGAGCGCCTCTTAGCTAATCCATCCCTCAGCCCCATGCTTAATGAGCGTACTAATCTATGTGCCTAGGACCCCTTCTCACACATTCTGAATGTAGGGCAAGCCCAAGGAATATGGTGGAGGCTAGGCATGCCAACTCCTAGAGGCGGAGGTGTCTTTGACCCCCCTCCATATTGGCTGGCAGAGGCCCGGGCCCCCTCAGTGTTGAGGTGGCGGAGGAGGCTGAGTGCAGAGCCAAGAGAGGTGCAGTTCAGTGGCTGGCTTCTCCTGAGCGCAAGAGAGGAAGCCGCACTGCACTCGGCCTCCTCCCGACGATTCAACAGCACATGTGCAACACGTGTCAGGCCCCCCAAGGTGCAAGACCCTCTGGTGGAAGCAGGGCTGACAAGTGTGACCAAGCAGACCTTTTCAGTCTCTTTACCTCCCCTGCTTGGGAGGTGTTTAAGGACATAGGTAAAGGTAAAGGGACCCCTGACCATTAGGTCCAGTCGCGGATGACTCTGGGGTTGCGGCGCTCATCTCGCTTTACTGGCCAAGGAAGCCAGCGTACAGCTTCCGGGTCATGTGGCCAGCATGACTAAGCCGCTTCTGGCAAACCAGAGCAGTGCACGGAAACACCATTTACCCTCCTGCCGGAGCGGTACCT